GCCCTGTTAGCTCGGAGAGCTTTATTTTCCCTCCTCAATAAGTTTCGTCAGTTGTTTTGTTTATTGGTCTATTGGTCTTGTTTCTTGTTTTGCATTGGTTAGTCAGAATTATGTTGTATTGATAAGGAGTTATCACAAAGTAAGTCTGTTTAGTTGTGCTATCTTACAATCAATATATAGTAAATGTAAGTTAAAGTGTCGCCGATGTAACCGGTTCAAACTTGGAGTGGCGATGAGGTCTTAAAATGTATGGAAAGAGTCTTAAAAAGGCCTTAAAAGGTATTAAATTTAACTCCATGATTCCTGTATATACCTTGTAAGAGAACTACACAGGCTGCCGGTTTCTTATAGGATTGATTTTAAGATATTATTATTTGTTTTTAAAGCCTTACATGGTACAGCTCCATCATATATAGCTGATCTGATCCAGGTGAAGAAACCAAAGAGAATGTTACGTTCTGAGTCAGTGAATCTCTTAGTGGTCCCGCGGACGTACCGGAAAACGAGAGGAGACCGCTCCTTTGCGGCCGCTATTCCTAGGCTGTGGAATGGTTTACCTCATTATATCCGGCAGTGCCCCACTATTAAAGAGTTTATGCGACATTTAAAATCTTATTTTTTTTACCGTGGCGTTTGAGCATACATGAGTGCGGTGTTAGTGGTGAAACTGGTTTTTACCAATTGTCCCATTGAGTCTGAGGTTTTATTTGGGTTTGTGTGTTGTTATGATATAGTACTTGAAAGTGTTTTTTATTGTTATTCTGCACTGTCTCATGTACAGCACTGTGGTCAACATTTGTTGTATTAATATGTGCGCTATAAATAAAGTGAACATTGAACATATATGTTTAAAGCACATCATTGTGTGTCTTTAAGCAATGACATTCTGCAGTTGTGTTTTGTGGAGAGGATAGTTTCTCATCATGACCTCTGATTATCTTTTCTTATCATTGGTCTATTCAAACTTTGTATCCATGGTTCTTTCATGCTGTGTAGTTTTTTTTTTGTTTAGTTTTTTTTTCAGCAAAAATATCCAGCTGTTGGTTTGTGTTTCAGATGTTCCTCCAGCTGAACAAGATGAAATGAAGAGAAAGTCAGTAAAGGAGGGAGAATCTGTTACTTTGGATCCTGGTGTCATGAAAAACACAAATGATTTGATGACGTGGCATTTTAATGGCATTCACATCGCTGAAATCACTTGAAATCCCAGTTGGAGCTGTACAGATGTTCAGTGTAAAGATGCTGATGGGAGATTCAGAGACAGACTGGAGGTGAATCAGACTGGATCTCTGACCATCACAAACATCAATATCGCAGACACTGGGCTCTATAATTTACAGATCAGCAGCAGTGGATTCAGCATCATGCGGACCTTCAGGGTTAATGTCACTGGTGAGTGTAATATACTAATTCAGTGCCTTCACCCTTAAGCAGTTTTAGAATACAGTTCAATATTGTAAAATAATTCCAATAATTTAAAGAAATAACTTTGACTCTATTAGAATATAAGATATTATCTCTCTATATTATCTCTTTCACATGCATATTGTCAAACTTTTTTTTCAGAAAATATACATGTTTGAAGTCTAATGTTATTAGATAAATTCATCAAATTAGTCAGTTTTTTTGTGCTGCTGTACTCTTTCAGCTCATATTGCTGTAACACTGTTTGAGCTGCTCATCCTTAAAAAATTATTAGTTAAAGCAATATTATACAAATAATGATCAAAATATAAAAGTGTAAATATTATCAGTCAAAGATATGAGTAAAGTTGATTATCAGTCACTCTCTAGTAATAATGACTGTCTGTCTTCAGCCGTTCCAGATTCAGGTCTGTCTACAGCTGTTGTAGCAGGAATATGTGCAGGTGGTGTTGTTCTGCTGATAGTGGCTGCAGCTGCTGCTGGTGTGATTTACTATTGCCGCAGACAAAAGGATGGTAAATGTTACATATGGCTGCTTTAAGATGGAAATATTATATTTATTGTGTAAAAGAAAATGTGTTTAGAAAATGTAAAAAATATGTATTTTTATTCGAATTAACTAAAGTCAATGTGTTTAATTGAGTGTATTGTTGTTCAAACAGGCCCCAGCACACAGTCCAGTGATACGGTGAGATACTATGTGCATCTCTGTTTTGAGTTTTCTCTGTTATGATTCAAAAACTAGTAATAACTGTTTATAATAATAAACATAATTTTTCTTTAGAATGAAGAACAGTGGTGTGAAATTTCTTTAATGTTATTAGTACTGAATTTTAAATATTTTTACAAATAATTATTTACAGTACAGCCTTTTTTAGACAGCAAGTGTCTGATTACAACACATCTTAGTATATTGGTAGTAGCATTATCTAGTCTTTTTGTGTCTGTAACTCAAATATTAAATCTGTTCATTTAACATTAAACCTGTTTATTTCACCTTCTGTGAATATGTATTTTTTATTTTTATTTTTTTACAGCAGGATGGTGTGTCGGCCTCTAAACACAAGAATCTTCCACTGACGAACGCTACCAATGAGATATCTCCTAACAAGAATAACACTCTATTGACAAACCCTAATGAGACTTACTCAAATGATAATAACACTCTTTTGACAAACACTAATGAGACTTACTCAAATGATAATAACACTCTTTTGACAAACACTAACGAGAATAACACTCTATTGTTGAACACTACCTGTGAGATAATCAAGTTCCATAATCAAGCTGATATTCGATTTATAGATGATGAAGATGAATTGCCCCCTGATCTGACTGAGAAAGGGGCTGCCAATGACACAATGTAACATTTTATTTTCATACTTTCATTGAAAGTGACAGTGAAAAAAAAAAACTGGAAGAGGAAGATCAGCTGAAGATGCCATTGCTTACAGAGTATTTGTCTCATGATACCAGATTTCAGTCATCAGTACAATTACCAGTGAATTTTCATCTCAGTATCAATTTCAATAATACAGCAACAAAACAAAGCAATACAGTACCAGCAATAGAACAAAAAGTGCTGGATGGATTTTATATAGAGGGTTATTATTAAAGCTGCTAAATTGACCCAGACATGAACAATGAGACATATGCTCCGATTCTGCTCATTTACACTGAGACATACTAATGCACTGATCTGCTCTGACATAAGTTATTTTGTCCCGTCTGTTTACTTCATCGAATGTAACTGATTGTGTTTATACAAATACCTCACAAAGACGGGCAACATTTATTTGACTCCTCAAACACAGTTGCACATGGTAGCTATTATACTGTGAAACACAAGCACTCTTCACAGAGAATGTGCAGTAATGTGCTAATGAGTGTTTGAAGATAGCTGTCAATCAGAAACACTGAGGTACTGAACTTCACTGCTGATAGTTTGGGTGTTGTTACTAGCATTGTTGCTGTTGCTGGAACAGACTGGTATTATGTTGCCATTGCACTTTCCAGACTTTGTATCAAACGTAACCAGCAAGCCCTTGGTAAACCATCTTCATCAGAACTCAGGTCATGACTGACTATGAGTGAAAAAGCTTTTCAGGTCCACTTGAAGGACTTTTCATTTATGTTTGTTAAGATGATGAACAGTGCCTATAAATGGTAATCCTGCACATAGATGTTTTTGTAGATATCTCGCCTCTTTCAATTCTGTTCTTGAAGCATGTTCATCTGTGCTGCTTGTGTCTAAAGGATCCTTAAGGATTTTCTTTCTCAGGTTTATCATGTTCAATGTGTAATATCAGATCTGTTAAGAGATTTAAGTGTCATCGTGGTGCTATTTTTGTGATAACTGTTTGCCATTTCCATGTCAGATGTTGTATAGTTTGCATCAGCCATGGAGTAAATGCCTTAAAGTTGAGCACAAAAACAAGAACACTATTTTCTAAATATATTGTAAGATTATATATTCTATACAATTTTTTTAAATGAAAATGATTGTGAAGGATGTATGTATGTTCATTTGACAGCAAGTGCCATTAAAACAAATGTGATTCACTAATAACCAGGATCTGTGAGTTTGTTGAAAAATTATCTTTGAGTTTGTTATCAGAAATAACTGAATTAAGCTACACTGAATCATTTATAGAGTATCTTTATAAATGTGTACTGCTTGTAGTAGTACACAGTTTATATTACTGTGGACTGGCCATTATCGTGTCATTTAGTGTAAAATGTATTAATAAGACCTTTGACTCATTTGATTCCTATATATCGATGTCTGATTTACTGTGATGTATTAACAGCGCTCCCAATCGGTCAAAGGTAAAACTGTTATTGTTTCAGTTTCGAGTCTGACGACATCACGTGGTCATACGTCATAAGGGGTTGGATGTTTGAAGTTCAAAAAAGACCGCGTACTGTTAACAGAGAGAGCGGTAATAAAACCAAAAGAAGAACAAAGCAAATAGCAGTAATTTATCATACATACAAAAGAAGAAAAAAACAAAAAACAAACAAGGGATAATGAATCGGAATCTGCTGTCATATCATCTTTGTGAAAAATGCTTCGATTTATTTTGATCTCAGTGTTCTTGTCTTTACTCGCAAATGGTAAGACTTTTTATGTTACGATCTGGTGTAGTCAACCATTAAAACGAATGGTGGCCACGTGGGGCCCTAAGCAGCCGCTTAGTTCGCTTATGCCTTGGGCCGGCTCTGATTATGTGTTAAAATTATGCACGAATATTCCCAAACACTATGATAATGTGATCTCTGTGTGAGATACGTGATTGTTGTCATATTTCAAAAAAACAAAAAACAAAATACATATTATAAACACATATTTGTACTACAGTAAAAATTGATGATAAATGAATTTTTCGATTGGAATTAAATAGCAAGTACTTTGAGTGTTTTGTTCATCACATTTATTTCTATATTAAAGCAACATAACTGAAATTATTATTTATTATTTATTTTTTATCAGCAGCACAGCGCATGTGTGTATAACGCGATATCCGCTTTTGATCTCGAGTCATTCTTGAAAAGTGGGACAAAACAGGGTGCAAAATTGAAAAAATAAAACCTTGTACTCAGACTAATGAAACTACATTTATGTATCTTATCTGTACTAAGCTACAGAGCTGTACTCAGACAAATGAAACTACATTTATGTATCTTATATCTACTGAGCTATGCTTTGATACAACCTCCCAACTTTTCTCTTTTTTAACAAAATGTGATTTTTTTACCTTGGACTGTGTAATATAATTTCAGCTTTATCTTTAACAGCATTCAAGATGTTTTTAACATTTCAAAACACATTCTCGTGTTAGCAGACAGATTACACTTTCACATGTGACCAACAATTCCACAACAAATATAAAATATCATAATGAAATATTATCAAAATATTAAACTGACGGAGGTGACAGAACTGACGTAGTTGACACATCTGACGGAGGTGACGAAAACCTGGATTTGTAGTCACTTTAACTATCAAATACATTGAATCAGTCAATTACTGTATTAAAAC